TATTTATAAATTTATATTATTTAAAATATATATTATAATATTTAAAATATATATTATAATATATATTTTATTATTCAGTATTATAATATTTAAAAAAAAAAAAATATATATTATAATATTTAAATATTTATAAATATTTGATCATAAAATAGATTTATTTCAACTCGTCTAATTAAAATAACGTATAATAACAGAATTTGATTGTTAATATGATTATAAATCTATTGTAAAATAAGATTGAAATGCAATGAAAATTTGTGCAAAAACCTAATTGTAATCTTTCGTGTTGAATTTAAAAGTGAATTTCTAAGGAAATTTCTTTGTATAATTCTTAGAAAAAAGAACAAATCGATTAGGTGACTTATTAACATGAATATTTTCGCGTGACTAGAAAAACCTTTCCTATCTTTCGTTCTATTTCTTTTGCACAAGGTGCATAAAACGAATGAACAGAAATGGAACGAATTAAATGATGTAAAAAAAAAAGAAAGAATGGTCTTATTTTCTTTTTTCTTTTCTTTCTGTGCGATGATTAAATTCAATCGAATTTTGTTTTGGAATCAATGACGTGGGGTTTAAATGCCGTGAGCATATTGTTTCGTATAGTTGGATATAGTGATAATAATTATCTGTCAACGACATAAACAGTTTATGAAATATGTCTCACTGTGATACTGGTCTAAATCAATGATCACAACAGTGTCATTGAGTTTCAAATCATGAGTAATAGGCACATGATAAATGACATAAGCTAATTTAACAGAAATCTTATGACACTGGATTATAATCTTACCTTTCTAACAAGATAATTCATTATAATTACACCTGTATAAATGATATTATAATCTTTCATTTATTTTGTATTCATTTTAAAAACATATTTGTTCCAACTTTATAAAGATTGAGTATAAATCATCTTTATGTTTAATTAAATAAACAAATTTTATTATTAGTACTATAAATTCAAAAAGAAATAATTTTTGTATTTACCATCATTTAAAATATAATATTTATAAAAATTGATTTGTAAATTATAAAAATAACATTGTGTTTTATTCATATTAATTAATTTAATATTATTTATTAAATGTGAAACGCAACGATTACAAGAATTAATTGATAAAATATAAAATATAATTACTTTTTATTATATTTTAATATAATAAATATTATATTAAATATAATATACTATATATAATAATAATTAAAATATAATTTTTGTAAATATTTTACAAATTATATTAAAATAAAATATAATGTACAATTATTTTTATAAACTAATTAAATACAATAAAAATATAATAAATAAATTAAATATAATAATATAATAATAAATATAAATTAAATTAAATATAAAGCATAATTATTTTTATAAATTAATTTTTACAATAGTGACATATATATATATATATATATATATATATNATATATATATATATATATATATATATATATATATATATATATATATATATAATATATTTCTTTTTTTCTTCTATAGGATTTTCTTCAGTAGTAATTTTTATATATTCAAATATCATTGATTATATTATATATAAATTTTGATAACTTAAATATCACTTATGAATTATCATCAATATGAATAAAAACAATCATATTAAATTATTTTGTATTTATATTTTATTATTATTAATGAAACGATGTAACTATTGCAAATAATGGTGTACACGTTTAAAAAAAATAGCTGTTTTGATCCATTAAAACCATATATATATAAATTTATATGAAATATTATAATATATAATAAAACTGTAACTATTTAAAAATAAATAATAATAATAATAATAATGAAAAAAAATAATAATAAAAAATATATAATAATAATAAAATATTAATTTTAATTAATAATAATAAAAATAGATTTTTGAATAGTTATAGTTTTTGTCGAATACGCGAAGAAAAAAACGGCTACTGCTTAGAATGGACAAAGTTTAAAAATATAAGGGCTCACCCTGACAATACGTATATATATTTTTTACGTATAATCTTAATATATATAAATTACGTGTCACGTTGTTTGTCTGCAATGGACTCCTAAGCTACTGAACCGATTTTAATCAAATTTTAAACACTGTATGCAGTTTCATCCAACTTGAAAGATAGGATAGTTTATATCTCAATTTACAATCGCAATATTATTTTATTGCGAATTATTTGTTTATTAACAAATAGTCATGATTATCTCTGTTAGTTTGATAAGATTCTAAAAGATGGCGGTATAAGGTAATTCTTTGACTTAAAGACGTGTGTATCGGACTTATTGTGAGCCACAGCAACGCGTGGCGGGGCACCCCTAGTATATATATATATATATATATATGCCCATAATTATGAAAGTGGTCTAAGTCATGTATCTTTTGTTTCGAGATATTTAAAGATTTCTATTTCAACATTATATGAATTCTATGTAATATTGAAAAAACCAACATTATCTGACGACTCATTTTTGACAATATCGTGAAAATTACATTGAATTTATTTAGTTTAAAATAATGTGGTACGTAATAGCTAATAAACTCTTGTTTTTTTTTTTAATTTGATTTAGACCACTTTCATAATTATGGGCACATATATACATTCGGACGGTAGATAGATATTATAAAAATGGTATATGATATTGAAAACAAAATCTTGCAAATATTTCATCTTCGGTATTGAAAAGGAAGCTTAAAAATGTAAAGGCTGACCAACGTCAACATTGACGTTAACGAAACGAATATATATATATATATATATATCGTTTATGTATGTATATCGCATATGTATGTATATATCGTGAACGAGCTTGTAATTTAACCATGGGTATTCAACCAAAACGGACGTATGTCCGTCAAAGCTTTTCGAAATACCTAACGAATTCGAAAAGCGGTTTAAATTTGTCTATTGCTTTCGACGAACAAAAAAAAAGAAATAACTATATATATATTCGTTTCGTTAACGTCAATGTTGACGTTATATATTATCAAAATTTGTATATTTTTATATAATCAATGAATATATTTTAAATAGATTAAAAAATACTATCAAAGGAAATCCTACAGGAG